GAAGATAAGCTTCAAGTTGTTTTAATGAAAGTATAAAGACTTTAATAGCAAAGAAGTATAAAATTTCTTGCGAACATCTTTTTTGTGTATGGTCAGAGGATCAGCGGAAAGAGTTTTTTGTTAAAAAAAATTAAGAATTTTTGTATTATTTTTGTAAAAAATATATATATATATAAATTATTATTTTCAATAAATTTATTAATATAACTTCAATTATAATAATTTTATTTATATTACTTATATTAAATAAAGATTATTTATTTTAAATAAAGTTTAAGAAACATATAATTCTATTAAATATTTGAAAGAATAAAACATAATAAAAGTAAATTTGAAATAATAAAAGAATTTTAAACAAATTCAATTCATATTAACAATATAATTACCTCTTAAAAAATCTTAAAAGTAAATAGAGCTTATCAAACTTTTAATCATGTAACAAGTTTGACAATTAAATTTATGAATTTATCAAACTTTATTATAAGTTGTAATTCTAGTCAACATTAAAATTTATAACATTAATAAAAATTAATATTTATAATTCCAGTTGACATTCAAGATTTATAAAATTTCAACTGGTATTATTATTTTTCGAGATAATCACATTTTACTCTAAGATGTCACGGTGATTATTGCACCCGTAGAGTGAAGATACTTTGAATGGTTTTGATTGGTTGTTATTATAAATTATATAAAAAAATAAAAATATCAAATAATAATAATAAAACTTTAGAAATTATTTATAAAAATTTTTTCTAAGAAAAGTGAGAAATAGAATAAGTCAGGTTAATATAAAGTATAATTTTAATCTATTAATATTAATTAAATTGTTTTATTCAACAGATAGTGATTGTGTATGAATTTTATTAATTATTAAAACTATATAATTTTGTGAATTAGTTAAATTTAAATTCATTAAAATTCTCTTATGAATGGATAATATGATAGATAAACATCCCTGACGACCTCATTGGTTTATTCAACCCCTTACGCGCTAGGCGCAAATTGTAATTCATTAACATGTAAATTCGGAAATGAGTCGTATATGCAAGATTATGTCATTAAAATTGTGCGCAAAATTAAAAAAAACCGAATACTATATGAAATTATATTGTATGCTTATAAAAATTAAATAAAGAAATATAAGAAAAGGTATCATCAATGTCAAGCCCGTAATTATCATATGGCGAACCAATTCTTTGTGCATGATCCATAAGTAACATCTATTAATTTAGTGTTAGTAAATAAAGTAAACAATTTTAGCGAACCGGATCTTAACCAATAACAATATCGATTATTCCTTCAATGCTTACCAAAGTTCTCGGCGGGATCACAATAACATTTTCCACTCTCGTGAAATCGTTTTTCTATTGGACAATGCTGAAATGGCGAGTGCTTATAGCCGATGTCGTTGAAGAAGTGTATCTGTGATTTTTCGAGAAATAGAGCCAATGCTATCGAATGAACCGGCGCATCACCCCATCTATTTTTATTAAAGAGGAAAAACGATCCGATCAGCATTTGTCCATGTGAAACGGGAATTTCATTCTCTAATATTAAAGTGTTAAGGAATCTCACCTTTCATAAAAGAATCCACCCGCTCGGTCCAAATAATCAAAAAATTTTAAGTACGCCTCCCTTCTCCAAAAATTCAAGTCCCCGATCTCAAAATTACTCCAAAAATGACATCCATTGTAGGTTGTGCCGGTTTGTGACATGAATCTTATCACATTCTTCTCGTTCACGTATTGTGGATATTCTTTTGAAAACTTGAGCACTGTATCCCAGAGTGTAGGTATGGTCTCTTGGAGTTCGAGCAGTGAAATTGTGAATCCGTAGGTAATATTGTTCTTTTGAATGAAACGGAATGGGTCATAATCGATGTCGCACAAAAATTCTACACCGGGTTCAAGGCGCCAGTAGTAATCGTATTTGGCCATCAGTTCATGACGGAAGAAGAAGCCCGAGTTGAATCGACACATGTGACGATAGGACTCACTGCCGCCGTATATTACATCTTTTTCTTCCATTTCGCGACGGACTTCGGCAGCGCGGGTTTGATTTATCCATGATGGATAACTCCACATGTGGTGTGGTATTAAGCCTGTTGAAGGTAAATGAACGGTGGTGATAGAAAGATTGCATTCAATCATCAACGGTAATAATAATAATAATTTGAAAAAAAAAAAAAAGAAAAAAGTCTAATCGACCCAATTACATACCATAATGAGTCTCAGATTTGGTAATTGCAGCGGTTAAGGTTTTAAACTCCTCCGTGAATTCTTCATCATTCAAGAATACATACGGATAGTGATACTTTTTGTTCCATCGGTCTTCAAAATGTTTCATTGTCTCCCTCAGTGCATGTAGCTCTTTGTTCCTTACCAACACTACTATAACTCCATTCAGCCTTGTGATATTTCGCTGATTACAGTACTGTAGTGAGTAATCTTCCAGGGGATCTATATACTGGGTCTCAAAGAATATTTGACGTTCCGATTGAAAAACCGAAATGTCGATCAACGATAGGAAGAAGGTGAACATTAATATTATTATTATGCCGGAGAAGAATAGGTAGCGGGAATAATGTATTCTAATCATTACAGGACTTCTTGCTCGTTTATTCATCATTTTTACGAATGTTTCTTCTGTGTATAATTTTTTTGAAGGGTATGATCTAGTTCCGCCCTTCCTATGTTCTTTTAGATTAACTGTTTCTTTTCCTGGTAACTTCGGGTATATTGTATCGTCGAGAAATTAGCTAAGATAATGTAGCATTGGGATACTGAAATTAATATATAAAGGTTTTGTTTTTGGTGGTAATTACTCTTTACTCTAAATCTAGTGTGTTCTTTGCATGTACAAAGCAGACCACTTGCACCCAGCAATGTAATCCCAAAAAAAAATTTTTTTTTTAACTCCGCTGAAATGATGCCAATAATGACACTCAAATATTCGTTTCTATTATTGACCTTTTTTGTGTTTCTATTCTGTTAATAGAAATGTCTATCTCTATCTGTCAATAGCGTACGTTTCGCATGAAATATGGTAGCGATGTAGCAATCAAGCAATCTCAGCGGAAGATAGAAGGAACGTTTGTAAAAAAAAAAAAAAAAAAAAACAAGAAAAAAAAAGAAGAAAGAAAAAAAAAAAAAGAAGAGGAAAAAGAAAACATACGTCTAGTTATAAGCAGTCACTGTTTCTTGAGTGACACGGTTCGTAGATAGTGAGACCTAATTTATAATTCAAATTCAACTTGTGGCACCATATCAAATATCGCCATTATACATACAACATGTCTTCATTCTATGTATTTTAATACGTGCATATTAAGTACATACCGGGTTAGATTACAGATCATTTTCTTTCACAAAAGACGTGTTACAATAGTTTATACAGCCGCATGGCGCATAACACCAAGACTTAATTAATAGAATATGTATGAAATAAGTGATAGATGTGATAATAATATCTAATAATTGTGTACTCGATTGATAGTATCAATTTTTCCTTGCGACAAGAAAAACATTACTTTGATTATCAGTTTCGCCCCATTATTATATAGTGAATGAATGCGCATTAAATTAAAGAAAATAGTAAGTCCGTGCAAAATGACTGATTTGCCAACCCCCCATATTCATTTTCAAGACAATGTAGTGTAATTTAATTTATTTGCTACTTTTATGATGTAGTAGTGATCGCTCTAATTCTGAGGGGTAACTTGAGTTGATGCAAATAGTTTAAATCCCATCCTGGTTCATAACTCCAAAAAAAAATGTTGGATTTAAATTAGACCAAAAACAATTTCCATAAAGTTTCTTTTCGTAATAACGTGAATAATAAATGTGATGATAATTGAACATCGCCATTTCTGACTTGACTGCTAGTCTTTAAGGTAGATTTACGGAATTCACCGAGAGCAGGAGAATTCTTGTTTTTAGGAATGGTTCCTCCAAAAGTAAGTGGTTTTTTCTATGAAAGCACACTAGAAAATCCGTTGTGAAGTTAGAACTCCACTGTACGCCACAAGATTTCCGGATTCCAGATCAGGAGTATGACAAGATAAACATGATTGTACCATGATAACGTTATAAGCACCAGTAGATATTTAGCACCTTATGTAGCACAAAATCAACAGATTTAGAAATACAATTTAGCATCACAAGCTTAACTAGATCACGCTATTAATTGTCCCAGGGTTTCTCAAGTGGACGATGAAATCAACAAATTCCGCATTTCCTTATTTTGAATGAAGACAATTCCATAGATTAAAACTTTAACCGAATGAGTAAGTAAATCGATGATGTGAGGGATTCATTAGCAAATGCACTAGTTTTACCCGTATTCACAAAGTAAATACTTGTCGGAGGATTTTAACGAACATGTCGAGTTAGGGATATGAAACATGATATACATTGAATTCATATTCGCATTTCAATTTAAGGAAGCAAGAATCAATATTACACAATTATCTCCTAACGTTTGATATTTAGTCGATTGAATTTAATGAGGTTTGTTAAGAGTGTATGCATACACAATCAACAGCATGTGCGGTTTACTATGTGCATCAAAAATACAATATTTATTTTTATAAAAATTATTATAATGATAAATTTAATTGCGGTTAGACCTGACAGTTTTTATACAAAAATCCTTAATAACCAAAAAAATTTTTTATATACATTTTAACCATTTTTTTAAGATAACAAAAAACTTTTTAAAAGTTATTGCCGATTTTTTTTCATTTGTTTATAAATCTTTTTAATTAAAAACCCAACTTTAAGCAATTTAAAAAAAGCTTTTAAAAAAATAAACAAGTTATTTATAGTATTTTTATATATTAAAAAAATATTACAAAGTTTTTTTTAATAATAAAAACTTTTTAAATTAAAGAACTTAATTAGAAGCAAATCTATTTTATTATTATTATTGCTCTTATAATATTTATAAATTTTTAAGAATTTTTATCTATTTCAATTTAATTTTAAAATTTAAATTGTATAAAATTTCTAATCTAATGCAAAATATATTAAATTTTAAAATATAAATAAAATTTTATTTTCTATATTTTTAAATTTTAATAATAATAATATTATTATTAAAAAAAGTTTATAGAAAAAATTTTTAAAATAAATAATTTTATATAAAAAATAAATTTTGAAATATTAAAAAATAAATAATCAATATATCTATTATAATAAATATTATATTATAAAAAAACTTATTTAAAGTTTTTAATAATAATTTTTTTAATTTATTTTAATTAAATATTTTTTGATATACGGTATAAATGCTAGTTGAAAAATATTTATTCAATATAATATCATTTATATAATATTTATAATTTAACAAATTAATAGTATAAATAAATCACTAATCTATTTTTATTATATAATTTAATATTTACAGTATATTTATATAATTTATATTTATATAATTTATTATTTATATTATATAATTTAATATAAAAAAAAAACACCCTTTCTGCTAATCCTCTTTTTCCTTAAAAAAATTTTTTTTTTGGTAATTTTTTTGAAAAAGAGAAATCAGCTTAAAACACTTTATCTCTCAAAGATTTGAAACTTAACAACAAACTACAATATTCAATCACTTCCCCAAAAGATCATTCTACTTATTAAAAAAAGTATAGACAGCACAATATCACTATAGCTCCACTTTACTTTATTTTACAAGGGAAGAAAAATATATCCATAAGCTGATTCACAGTAAACTTAAGAAAGCCCAATATCAATTTCCCAAGCTTTTAGTCAGACCAATGTTAGTTTACACCTTTCTAGATACTAGAAAGAACTTTATTAACAATAGTTCTCACTGATAAATCAGGAAAAACTCAAAGTTCATAAAGTTCAAAAGGACATCAAAGACTCCCAAAAACTAAGCAATAAAATATCATGATTCCATATACACCTATCTAAATAATAAAACAAATTATGTAAATATTTATATATCAAATAAGTTAATATAAAAACAATACAACAAAGTTCATCAAGAATCTATAAACAAATAGTCTATCTTTTATAACAAAGAAAATCAACAACCATTTTGGTAAACAAGCTGATCAAAATAAAAAGAATAAATACTCATTTAAGTAAACAATATTTTAAACAAAACAACAAATAAACAATTCTGCAAACCTTGCTAAATATAAAACAACAAATCAATAATTTATTCTTCTTTATATATAATCAATATGATAAAGTAACAGAAAATTATATAAATTGCAAAGAAGAGAGAACTCCATATTCTTGATATAATAATCAAAATAGTTGAAAAGCATAATCAGAGAAAGAAACATGGGCTATACAAATTATTTTCAACTTTCTTACTATATAAGACAAGACTAATCAGACTTCAGGATTAGTAAAATACTTGATACTTAATAGTATTCTTACAAAGATCCTAAATGTAGATTCAATTATATTCATTAAAGTTGAGATCTTCAAATAGTATATCCTATATTTATGAAAACAAGGTCAAAAAAAAAAAGAAGATATTATGACACCTTTTCTAAAAGAAAAAGTCAAACATATCTTGGAACAAGACACTACTACAAACAGTTTATTTCCACATATTTCTCAAACTTTCCAGACCAAGGACAAGTTCATAAACTTTATAATAGGAAATTTAACCTTAGATAAGAATAGCTTCTCAAATAAGAATATGGAAGTTCCACCAACCACCAAGATTAAAATTCTAAAAAACACTGAAATCAAAATGAGTGACAAAGAATTGAAAGAAAAATCTGAGAAAAACTTAAAATGGAAAATATAATAGAACAAATCTCCTACAATATATAGAATAGACCCAAGCCATTCAGCCTAAATCCATTTCATATCACTAAAAAAGAAAAATTCAAGATTAAAATTCTTACCTCTAAAATATTAGAAAATATAGAAAAGGAATGAATAACCTATCTCCAAGGTGTCTAAGTTTACCCAAAAATATACTACTATTTAAAAAAAACTTTTTCAATGGTAATATCTAAACAACTTTTACTTTTGAGGAAATTGAAGATGCTTTATAATGTATAGAGAAGATCAATAAGAAAGAAGGAGAAAACTTCATC